CCTGTTTCCTGCTCTTGGCTATGAAGCCTTGAACAGTTTCCTCCTAAAAATCCAGGCGGTCCAGCTGGATGTTGTGGTGAATTCCCTGCAGGTGTTGTCAAGCAGTTTCATCGTTCACCCATCACCACCAGGGGTGCCTGCAGAAGTGCCTGGGAAAGGGGAACATCCCATGCTGCTGTGCCAGTCTGGAATCCCCAAATATGTTCTCAAGCTCCACAGTCCTCCCTCTGGGGTTGGTTGCACATCCCAGCAAGAGAAACCCAAGAATTCCTGGGATTCCTGGAACGCTGAGGAGGGGAAAGGCCAGAGAGCAAGGGATGTGCAGAGGGGTGCTGATGGGAAGTGCAGGATGGTTCTGGTACAGAAAGCTCAGGATTTTTGCAGGTGAACCATCACTGTGACAGATGTGTGGGCTCACATCTGTGCTCCAGGCTCCAGCTCTGACAAGTGCAGTAGGAGAGTCCAGTTGCTTTCCCTCTTCCTGAATTTTTTGTAACACTTCAGGACCAACACTGTTTTCCTCCTGAAATAAAATGTGTGACAGGCTTTGTGCAGCTAACCCTCAGTAAGCTGAGTCCTCGTGGATGCTTGCTGGGACTCTCCAGGACATCAATCCCAGGGCAGTCATGAGGATCTGGGATGCCTGCAGAACCATCCCTCAATCACCTCCTCACCACTGCTCTCCAGGTGTTTCCTGTGAGGAGCAAACCAAGGGTCCTTAATGCTGCATCTTTTCACAGGCAATCAGGGATTCTCTCAGCAGGGAAGGTTGTTCATCAACAATTCTCCTGAAAGGAGGAGAGGGAATGGCTTCCCACTGCCAGAGGGCAGGGTTAGATGGGATATTGGGAAGGAATTCTTCCCTGTGAGGGTGGGCAGGCCCTGGCCCAGGGTGCCCAGAGCAGCTGTGGCTGCCCCTGCATCCCTGGAAGTGGCCAAGGACAGGGCTTGGAGCAGCCTGGGATAGTGGAAGGTGTCCCTGCCCATGGCAGGGGTGGCACTGGATAAAGCTGAAGGTCCTTTCCAACCCAAACCATTCCAGGGTTCTGTGATTCCCCACGTCCCTGTGGCACCTGAAGACCCAGCTGGGCTGCAGTGGGATGCTCCCAGAGGAGCGCTGCATTCCTGCAGCCATTGTTCCTGAGGGAGTGGCAGTGATGGGGCCCATGAGAGGGGAGGCAGCTCAGCCTTGCTCCAGCGTTGTTGTGGAGCTCAGTTCTCCAGCAGCTCCTTGCAGCCTGCCCAGATGGATGCTGCTGAGTGCTGAGCTGTGCCTGCTCTGGAGCTGAGTTATTTACAGCTCACTGCAGCTGACTTACACCATCTCCATCAGCAGAAGGAAACCTTCTGGAAGGAGAGACAGGAGAATGAAAATCCCTCCCTGCTTTTTTTTTCCTCCCCTGTTGTTACAAACCCTGAGCCTGAAGTCTGCAGTGGAGCTGGAGGAAAATCTGTGAAGCAGCAGGGATCTGTGGGGTGAGGTGGGCACCGTGTGGAAGCATGGCAGGAGCTTCTCACTTTGACCTTAATTTGTGCAGTTGCAGCTAAAGTCAGCTCTCCTGGTCAGCTGGAAACAAAAGAGCTTTTCTGCCTGGCCGTGCCCAGCTCCATCCTCACGGCACTGACACAAAAGGGCCCTTCACCATGGCCAGAATGCAGTGTCCTTGCAGAAGGTCACTGGCTGCTGCCTCTGCTTCCCCCAGCCCCTGGCCCCAAGGGATTTGCAGAGCCCACATGTAGGTGTGGGAGAAGCATCTCCAGGAGCAGGTCCTGCTGGGGCAAGCAGGGGGGCACTGAGGAGCTGCCAGGGGGCACAGCAAGGTGCTCATCTGCGTCTGAAGGAGCTCCAGAGCTGCATCCTCTGAGCTGCTGGGACTGGCAAGTGCTTAAAGCTCCCCAGGGTTTGGGTTTCACTTGGTTCGGGTTGTTTTTTAATGGTAGGACTGATTTTCATGCTGGCTATGTGTGGCTTGCTGCTTCTTGCAGCCAGGTTGTAGTTGCTTCTTCCCCATGGTTTATTCAGTGTTTCTCCTCTCTCCACTCAAGGTTAAGGTGTTTTTGCTGAATTTCCTCAAGTGGCTTCGTCTTCCTGAATTTCTCTCTGTGCTTTGCATGTCTCACTCACTCCTTCCTGCTCTGTTTCCTCCTGTGCTCCTCAATCCCCTTGGCTGCTCATCTTTCTGCTCTTTAATCCCTTCTCCTCCCCTGCTCTCCCTTGTCCTTTTGCTGTGCTCTGCTCTGCACCTGCCACATTCCCCAGCAGCATTTCCTCTGCAAGCTGCTTGTCCAGACAAGTGATGGCTGTGGTATTTACGTGTCCTTCACAGCCCAGTGCACGGATGTCACCGAGGGGTGACCCCGGGGTGCTCCTGAGCCTCCCTGGGACGCTGGTGCTCACTCAGCCTTCACTTGGCTCATCCAGATGGGAAGGGATGGGGAGAAAATCTTCCTGGCCATCAACCATCCTTCAGCCTGTCTGGACTGAGATTT